TTCACATTGTGTCCACACTAGCGTATAGAGGTTTCGTGTAGTGTCCATCCTGGTGTTTCAAGGTTTCACATTTTGTCCACACTAGCGTATAGAGTAGTGTTCCTGGTGTTTCAAAGGTTTCACATTGTGTCCACACTAGCGTGTAGTGTCCATCCTGGTGTTTCAAGGTTTCACATTGTGTCCACACTAGCGTATAGAGGTTTTGTGTAGTGTCCATCCTGGTGTTTCAAGGTTTCACATTGTGTCCACACTAGCGTATAGAGGTTTTGTGTAGTGTCCATCCTGGTGTTTCAAAGTTTCACATTTTGTCCACACTAGCGTAAAGAGGTTTCGTGTAGTGTCCATCCTGGTGTTTCAAGGTTTCACATTGTGTCCACACTAGCGTATAGAGGTTTCGTGTAGTGTCCATTCTGGTGTTTCAAGGTTTCACATTGTGTCCACACTAGCGTATAGAGGTTTCGAGTAGTGTCCATCCTGGTGTTTCAAGGTTTCACATTGTGTCCACACTAGCGTATAGAGGTTTCGTGTAGTGTCCATCCTGGTGTTTCAAGGTTTCACATTTTGTCCACACTAGCGTAAAGAGGTTTCGTGTAGTGTCCATCTTGGTGTTTCAAGGTTTCACATTGTGTCCACACTAGCGTATAGAGGTTTCGTGTAGTGTCCATTCTGGTGTTTCAAGGTTTCACATTGTGTCCACACTAGCGTATAGAGGTTTTGTGTAGTGTCCATTCTGGTTTTTCAAGGTTTCACATTGTGTCCACACTAGCGTATAGAGGTTTCGTGTAGTGTCCATTCTGGTGTTTCAAGGTTTCACATTTTGTCCACACTAGCGTAAAGAGGTTTCGTGTAGTGTTCATTCTGGTGTATCGAGGTTTCATGTAGACTAACGCTTAGTCTTTGAATATATGTAATTTTGATAGTAACAAATATATCCATTAAATTGAAAAGGAGCCCCAGTGAGATGGGAGATTCATAACCTGAACCTGAGGAAATCTAGACTTGCTTAATTTAGGGCTTTAGCATTGCAGGGAGGGCTGGGCAGTAGGGAAAATAATGTGGTTCAGGGACTGTGAAACAGACTAGGTTTCATTTTCTGTTCATTCTGGTGTTTAAAAGTATCATGTTTTATCCACACTAACATACAGAGGTTTCATGTTATATCCCATGCATTTTGTGTAAAAAGGTGTTCATACAATCCATTAATGTTCAGATTTGTCTATAAATCTCTCGCATGAATACGAGGTAGATTTGAAACTGTTCCTGCGCCCCCAAAAGAATACAAAGGATTTATGACAGAGCCATGTAGGATCAGCCAACGTAGGCTGCTCTAATGTAGTTTTGATGTTCATGAATGAAGCATGTATTTACCCACTTCCATACAAAGACGTTTTTCACAACGCACATATTGTCGAGGTACTTTGTGCTGAACGGGTTCAGCGTCTGTGGGTACAGAGAAGCTCAAGTAGATTTACCTGTAACGAGCATTACGAATTTCCTTCAGTATATGACAATGGGGAACTCAGAGTTGTCCCAATTCACACACCTTGAGTCCGCTTGTGCGAACAGAACAGGAGCTCAAATGGAAAGCATTTTCATGATTAAGGTTTAGAAAAAGACATTTATCAACTGCATGTTTGACGTGTGTGACCTATATCTTTCCTAACATTGTGAAGGATGAATGTGAACAGGCAATGCTTATACTCCTACTACCCGTAAAGACCCGGGTTAGAGTTGGTCTTCAGCAACTCATGCTTGTCGTAAGAGGCAAGTAACGGGATCGGGTGGCCAGGCTCGCTGACTTGGTTGACACATCATCGTATCCAAGTTGTGTAAATCGATGCTCATACTGTTGATCACCGGATTGCTGGTCCAGACTGGATTATTTACAGACTGCCGCCATAGAGTTGCAATATTGCTGAATGCGGTGTTAAACATAAAAAATACCAAACCCCCAACAAAAAATATAATGTTAGAAGGCAAATTCAATGGTTGACATTGAACCAAGTGATAAATAGTAAAGGTAATACACTAGACACCGATTCTTGAAAAACTATCAGGCAGTGCAGTGTTAAACAACAAAGAAACTGTATCATATCGCTACAATGACCTTGATATTTTGCGTCATGACTGACTGACTGAGTTTAGTTTTACGCCGCTTTTAGCAATATTCCAGCAATATCACGGCGGGGGACACCAGAAATGGGCTTAACACATTGTGCCCATGTTGGGAAACGAACCCGGGTCTTCGGCGTGACGAGCCAACGCTTTAACCACTAGGCTACCCCACCGCCCCTTTGCGTCATGAAATACAGTGTCATGCAGTATATCGTCATAATACACCACGGTGCAGCAACATTAGCAGATATTCCGGGACAAATGTGCGAAACAACCGGCATTAACCCGTCAGTGTGTTCGGTGTAGGTGAACTATGTCGAGTCACTCGGTTCGGTGGATTCGTCCATCAGTAATACGTTCAAGGCCAAGGCCGTTTCACAAAGCGTTCGTAGCGTTACGATTGCCATAAGTCAGCGTTTAAGTACAGACGCTCTCTCAGTAATATGTGTTACTACATACTTATACTCATGTCCGTAAGTTACGCAACTAACTATGAACATTTCAGTGACCAAACACTGAAGACAATGTATTCATCCCAGCTACTTTTCCGAGGGTAGATTGATGCATATAAGGAAAGGGAATTGTGATATCCCGCTGTGGCAGCAAACAGAGGTCTGCGACCTAATGACAATTCACAAATTTTAAGAAAATTCTACCTAAGTAAGAAAGTAGGGTGTTTGAAAGTGGTATACAGCAGAGCTTCAGCGTGGCGGGGGAACCTCGAAGAAGACACCCGTCCCGTAAGGCCTGGTATGTCACACCAGACATGATCCAGAGGCAACTGGCGAATGACTATCCGTCATGGTGATAGTTTAGTTATATACATGTATATATATTACAAAATAAGTAATTTATAAAATTGTTTCTTGTGAAATGCATTGCATGTGCATGCCCAATACCTTTGACATTGGATATATATATGATCACTTATTCTCTACTACCTTTATAATGTGATCAAAACTGTTTTATACATATAAATATTCATTAACATAAAAGGCAGACATAACTATCATATACACATGCCATAAAGACCATATATACATGGCACCAAAGAGTTTTCATCTGCATACCCCAGATCCTTTCCATAACAAACAACAAGGGATACGTGGAAGCTTTACAGTACACAGCGAGAGACATATTGCTCACAACCGTATTCAACTGCAGCATAATATCTCCATGTTTCTGTAGACAGACATTGGTACAAAACGTCGTCTGCCCACTGACAAGGCCAGTCAAAGAAATCCCCACGAAGGCCGTAAGTGTCGGGGCTGACAGGTCAATGACATTCAACACCACCCCTCCGTGTGGATTCCACCATACACTGACGGGGCATTGACTGAAGGATTGAAACCTTACGTCAGGGCATGACACAGACACCATGGTTGAAGACATCGTCACAGATACGTGCCCTTAATCATCCTGTTGATACATACGGGTGGATTTCAATAACGCCAATAGAATTTTGAAGACTTCATTTACGCTTTAATGTCAAGGTCGGGGGCTAATGCTCTGCGCAGAAAATGGGATCTGTCGATGACGGGATCTGTTTGTGTTCAACCACAAGCACAAAACTGGTAATGGATTCAAACAATTTGAAAAAAATATGCAGTTTAATGCCTCTGTGGAAATAATGTCACAATGATTGTTCCATTTCACTTTGACCAGAGGCGCATGACGTCCTGTCATAATGTCCTATACCGTTTTTGCCTAAACTTGTGATCTTGAACTTTCGATAAATATTGTGGTAATTATTCAAACCCACTAGACCGGATCTCATTAACATTTCAAACTATCCATGCAGTGAGTTTTCCGACTCTAGAAAGCATTAGAAAGGAAGCACTCCTCGTCTCGTTGTATGAAAGCGTCCCCACTACGCTGTGGAACCAGATAACAGATGTGTCCTTTTGATTCAAAAGTCAGAAAGGAATACAATATTTATAGTTTAGATTAAAGATCATGGCCATCACTCCTGAATGTATACACGACGAGGACCCCGTGACTGGGGTGTGCTGCCTTCACACTGGGTATTGACACTGCCGGGAACATCATATCAAACAGGCAGTCAGTCAATACTGCGCATATTATGTCACTCACTTCAATGCAGTGAAAACCTCTCAAGACGTCCCAGTTAAGGTAGAAAAAAATTATCGGGAGTTATTTCAAGCTTCAGACCAGACACAAAAGGAGAAAGCTGAATTGATTAAACAAACGCAGCCCTCTGTCGTGAAGACGACATTTAACGTTGAGCAGAACAGCGGTTTTCCTCACATGTTATGATGCTGCTGTCTTTGATGAAGTTTTCCTTTTCCTCAAATGTTTGGGTTTGAATAAGCAATGCACAGACCATCAAATGTGGGTTGTATCAACGTGTGTCTCGAGTATGAGCTGGCATTCAATGTTAAGTGTGAGTCACATAAAGCACTTTATTTCGTTTTATGTACACACATTATGTCTTAGTAGGGTAAATGATGAAACAGAAGCTGCACCATTAGATACGTAGACGGTGTATTAAATCACCCATAGGCGAAAGCTTATCATCTCCTCTATTGAGGTTGTCGGAGATACTTTGCCAATGAACTACAATATGCCACGAACACTTTCTACCCGTTTCTGTGCCCATATTCAGTAATTGACTACCCAAAGACATGCACTGATGACAAAGGTGGTCATAACACCCGGTCTGACTAAGCCACGAACTGTAGGCTGTTATCCTGTTTCAATGAAAGCGTCTACCACGCTGACACAGCACGAACGCCCTTCGGCTGTTAACCGGTCATCATGTAACACTTAATAATGATCGGATTAAACTGTTTCTTTTCGCAATTAGGTAGTTTCTTAATCTGTATCATTTTAATATAATGTTGATAAAACAAAAGCTTTCCTACCTGTCTTGTGTTCTGCGGTGTGTGATAATATCCAGTGTATAAGTCCCTATAGGTAAAAGGTAAATCCAACTGGGAGTATGTAAACTTATTTGCACAGAATGAAAATAAAGCGGGACTAAGAAGTTTTCCCTGCTCCCCTCCACTCACTGCACCATCCAGACAGTCCGAGCCGGAAGAATGGTTTATGAGCTTGTATACCTGGAACAGTCCACTTACTGTCGCGAGGGGAGACAGCTAGCCCAAATCTACCAGCTGTGACAAATAAGTTAGAAATCGTTGCACAGATGATTCTTAAACCCAAACGTTCATCCCCTATTTAACTTGAAATTGGAGTCGTGTGGCTGTGTGACATTTGGGCTTGCTGGATGACGGTTTAATCCCGCGCATCACCCCTCGTCTGACAAGATTAGGCCGATCAAACAGGTATCTGTATCGAGACCGGTGCAAATATTAGGGCAGGCATCATCCCATAACGTAAGGCGGGATTTTATCTCCTATCCTACGTATAATCCCCTCGTCTAACGAGACTATGGGACATGTGGATTTATTACGTCTGAAGAACATTCGCCTTTAAGGCGGGGTTTTGCTGGCGCTATTAATAGCTGGAACAGGAGCTATTTGTGTGACACACATAGCCGCCATTTATCAAACGGAACGCTGGTATTGATTTTAAGTTAAACTGAATCAAATTTAGATTAATTGGGGTTTTATATTACATTGGTTTTCGTGTGTTGTTCACCTGTCTGCGTAGGGTTTAACTCGGGAGCCACGTCGGTCTATAGTCAGGGGGATACTGTAACATGTAAGGTTAACCTTTATAGGGACTTATACACTGGGTATTATCACACACCGTAGAACGAATATAACACAGTCATTGTTATGAGGCCAAAGAAAATGACATTGTCATGTGTCAATATTGTCCTTGCCTTTAGCGTGAGTGAGGGAACTGTGTCACATCCCGGGTATCAATATCCCGGGTTGTAATGAGCTACACAGCTACATTAATGTGAGGAATTTCAGCCTCTGTAACCCCAAGACAGCCTTGCCGATATTAACATTCATTTAAAGAGTATCGTCGTCGAAGGTATAGCAAATGTATCGAATTGTAAAATCGTTTAGTGTGAGCTAAGGAAATGAGGGGCGATTATCATATTTGCAGCATTTCTGCAGAAACTGCCGGCCTCGCGATGACACCCATACATGTGCATCGTATCTCAGGAGACAGAGAAGACACATCCTATCAGTTGGGTACAGCAACTGCCTGACATATATTTCAGTCGAAGAATATAATTGAACTGTGTGACAGATCTCCTTCAAGGACAAAATCGTTATTTTAAAAAAAAAAAAGTACACATTTCACTAGACTGAACAAACACAAGTCTAGATTTTACAGCTAGACAGGACACATCTTACAGGACGGGTCAGACACATGCAAACGCTAGCACACAGTAAATTCAAGATAGACTGACTGAGTTTGGTTTCACGCCACTTTTAGCAATATTCCAGCAACATCACGGCGGGGGACACCAGAAATGGGCTTCACACATTGTGCCCATGTGGGGATTCGAACCCGGGTCTTCGGCGTGACGAGCCAACGCTTTAACCATTAGGCTACCCCACCGCCCCATTTAAGATAGAACTACTTCAAGGACACCAACATGTATTTTACTCTGGACCAGAAGACACACCACATATCGGGGCAGATAGTCATACCAACCAGCTGGACACAATAACTGCTTGTCAGATATACTTCAAGGAAACAGTCACACACCTGAGTCAAGATCTGAACACATGAGGCACTGACACATCGCAACAGTTAGACACAGCACCTGCTTGACAGATCTACTTCAAATTACACATTCACTTAAGGCCAGAACACTACATGACGGCACAGACACATCGCAACAGTTAGACACAGCACCTGCTTGACAGATCTACTTCAAATTACACATTCACTTAAGGCCAGAACACTACATGACGGCACAGACACATCCCAACAGTTAGACACAGCACCTGCTTGACAGATCTACTTCAAACACACACATCCACTTAAGGCCAGAACACTTAGACGGCACAGACACAACAGCTTAGACACATCACCGGCTTGACAGATCTACTTCAAATTACACATCCACTTAAGGCCAGAACACTACATGACGGCACAGACACATCCCAACAGTTAGACACAGCACCTGCTTGACAGATCTACTTCAAATTACACATCCACTTAAGGCCAGAACACTACATGACGGCACAGACACATCCCAACAGTTAGACACAGCACCTGCTTGACAGATCTACTTCAAATTACACATCCACTTAAGGCCAGAACACTACATGACGGCACAGACACATCCCAACAGTTAGACACAGCACCTGCTTGACAGATCTACTTCAAATTACACATCCACTTAAGGCCAGAACACTACATGACGGCACAGACACATCGCAACAGTTAGACACAGCACCTGCTTGACAGATCTACTTCAAATTACACATTCACTTAAGGCCAGAACACTACATGACGGCACAGACACATCCCAACAGTTAGACACAGCACCTGCTTGACAGATCTACTTCAAAGTACACATCCACTTAAGGCCAGAACACTACATGACGGCACAGACACATCCCAACAGTTAGACACAGCACCTGCTTGACAGATCTACTTCAAATTACACATCCACTTAAGGCCAGAACACTACATGACGGCACAGACACATCCCAACAGTTAGACACAGCACCTGCTTGACAGATCTACTTCAAATTACACATTCACTTAAGGCCAGAACACTACATGACGGCACAGACACATCCCAACAGTTAGACACAGCACCTGCTTGACAGATCTACTTCAAATTACACATCCACTTAAGGCCAGAACACTACATGACGGCCAGAACACTACATGACGGCACAGACACATCCCAACAGTTAGACAAAGCACCTGCTTGACAGATCTACTTCAAATTACACATTCACTTAAGGTCAGAACACCCTATGAAGGCAAGAACACTACATGAAGGCCAGAACACTACATGAAGGCCAGAACAGCACATGAAAGCCAGAACACCATATGAAGGCCGGACACATCCAGGACAAGGACATTGTAGAACGCTGACACCGGCAGAACAGATGTACCAACATCTAGGCCAGCCACAGTCAACTCTTGACAGACGCACTTCAGCTGTGAGACAGACGTACCCGAAACAGCTTGAGACGTCCTCCAATTACAGGAAACGGTTGTGCACTCTACTCTTCACGACCTGCTTTGATAATCTCAGTAACTGCAAACGCAACCGGAAGTGACCTCACACGAAGCCCACGCAATACGAGCCTGTTGTCACTGCAGGCCAACATATTCGACTAGATGTAACTGACCTATGTGTGATACCTGTTGGGATAACACCAGCTCACCTTGTGGGTCAGACTGTTAAGGTAATCACCTGACTCAGCTTCATATCAGGCGGGGGATTAAATCAGGGGACTCATTTTCAGACAGTCCGGGAAATGTCAATCAAATGTACTTCTTTGTACCAAGGTATCAGCGTTATCAGCGTTACACAAACTCGTTGTGGGATTGTATGATGTGTGTTTCCTTTTGGATCAGTAACACGGTCAGATAAAGGTATCATAAAGGAGGGAGATGAGGGGGCATAACACTACTGTAACTTGCAGGTGTAACATATAGTCGTCACGGTTGTTTAAGAAGCTGGTTCCCCTGCTGCCATTGACAGTGGCACCTCGAGGAACACACTTGACCATGCCCAAGACCTTTTAGTGCATTACACCTAAATTTGAATCAGTTTTCTTATATGTTCATTTGACAAATTTTCATGTTCGTAATGGTTTTCTCAGTCGAAACCGTTCTGTGATGTCTTTAGGAATAACAAAAGTTCAGGGACATCGTGTTAGTTAAATTTTGAAGGAAAGCTAAAAGTTTACACCTTTGTTGGAACCCTATACAATTAAATACAGCAGCTTAAACCATTCTCTCGTCGCTCTATTGTTAACACGTTGTTATATGTACACGTTACATCCGCTCAAATATATGCTCAAGTTATGCCTCTCTTACTAATGCCTTTGGGGCGGTGGGGTAGCCTAGTGGTTCAGGCGTTCACTCGTCACGCCGAAGACCCGGGTTCGATTCCCCACATGGGCACAGTGTGTGAAGCCCATTTCTGGTGTCTCCCCGCCTTGATAAAAGCGGCGTAAAGTATTTTAGCTGAAGTCCAAAGTGACATACCTCAGACGTTTACCTCTTTGGTGAAAAACACGAGGACAATCTAATACCACAATTAAATGCTATGGGGAATATGTCAATTCCCTCGGATTTCAGGATGCTATTAAGGGTGGTTGTATTCGAGGACTTAACACAATCCCGGATTGTACATACACACTGTGTTATACGTCAAATGTTTATATATTACTTAAGTTACACAGCTTATGGCACATAGCATGAAATAGAAACAGATTAATGGAGAGTGGTTGTTGTGCCTCTACCTTCGACGGAGATAATAGTCATTTTGTCATGTTTTACATACTTTGAGACTTTGTCTCTCTATATAATAACAAGGTGATATGACAATTGATGAAACAAACTCTCAACTGAACTCAAAACACTCTCGCTTTTCAAGTCTCAGCTATAAACATATCTCTTCCGACAGTCATACCTGGACTAAAATCTACTGCCTTGTGTTTATGTCCCATTGACAGAGTTAATATTGTAGTATATTTGTAGCGCTATGAGCATACACATAGTGTATGGAGTTGGCGCCATATAAATGGACTCATTATTATTATTATTTATGAAATATACCTATTGCTGACTTGTCAAACCTGTTGTTATGGCAGATTACGCCGCGGCATCACTACCTGCATCAACCTCACCCACATCCATCACACACCTGGTTAAACCTGAATCAGGACCTCGTCAGTAGCAGCTTAATGTATTTACACTGCTAGACACCTATATATCTAACCAAGAAGAATTAATTATCGTCTGCGGGCTTTCGCCTTCCCGCTGGGCGACTCCGGAACACTTGTCCTGTTCCCTACTGACACAACTACCTAGAAGTAATTTTAAAACGTGGCAATTGGTATAGATACATATGACAGTACCATTGCTGAATAGGATAAAATATATTGGACAGTTGGTAGACGAGATTTTTTCTTTATTGAAATGCATCACAGCACTGAGCAGTGTATGAAATAAGCCCCAAACCCAGCCCGACATCAGTACTGGTAACTTCAAAATGTTA